CCCGGCCGCTGACCGCTGATCACACAAACACCGGACTGTAGGCAGAGATCATGTTTCTGTTGTGATGCAATCACAAAGAGATGCTTCAGAGGGAGAACGGTTGTGGTTACTGCGTGATGTTCAGACACAACTGATGTGGTCTCAGTGATGTTGTTCTTCTGCACCATCGCATACGAGTGTGTTTAGTCGTGTTTATATCAGACTGTCTGTGAACATTGTCTTATGATGTTTACAACATTTAAGTCTTGTTTTTGTAGCAATAAAAACCAGCCCCATTGCATTCACCAAGTCAACACATGAGCCACCAGACCTGTAGACATGTCGGGTCGGTACCGGGTCTGTGCGATGGAAGCAGATCAGCACCGTCCCCGTTACACCTTCATCTGTTTTTATTTCCAATGTGGCAGAAAATGTGACTCAGTGCTTTGAGGTCATCTTGGTGCCAGGAGTGTTTTATTCATTGAGTTATTATTTTAGATTATTTTAGAACATCCAGCAGAAGTTCACCAACAGCTTCGTCCCATCAGGGCGGGTCGCTGAAGGTGCCGACAGCCAGCGTGCTGAAGCTCAGAGCGTCCTACGTGTGATCGTAAAGGCTGCAGAAGAAGAAAGATGATGCACAGGGAAAGGCAGAACCACCGCTTCATGGCTCGGTCCGTTCGTCAGAAAGCGTTTCTTTAACTAACGAGCTGGTTGTGATGTGATCCCAGAGAGCGACAGGAGACGTAGAAAGTCAGCGTCTACAGAAACACAGGCCGTCACTGGAGCATCCACCTGCTCAGTGCCTCAGCTTGTAATTTAAGCCCAGAAATAACAGAGCAGCAGACTGTTGGCGTACGAGGCACAAGCGTTACGTGACCTAATGGTCAACCACCTAATGGTATGTTTTTGTGTGCGCTCCTCTCATTCCTGTACTCATTAACTCCGTCCAGGAGATAAGCTGGAGGGGTGGTGGTGGGTCCACATCTTCTGCTGCAGTGTTCCCTCCATCCATCCATCCATCTGTAGACACCAACCACTACAATAAACAGGTTTTTTATTTGTTTATAGATTCTATTTTACAAGTTGACCTGATGAATCATGTGCCAGTAGGTGTTAGAAGAGCTTTGTTGTTCTATCGACTATGAAAGTTAGTGTTAGGGTTAGTGTTAGTGTTAGGGTTAGTGTTAGTGTTAGGGTTAGTGTTAGGGTTAGTGTGGGTATTTGTGTCTTTGTGCAGCTGTGAATGAACGCTGGTGGGAGACAAACAGTTTGATGGCTCTCCTATAAATGATTGATCAGCTGCCCGGAGCTACTGAAGCCTTTGCTGTTTGCTGTTGCTCCATTTTTCTGTGAGTGCAGAGCTTTTGCAGTCGGCTTATGTAATCCATGTCCCACTACATCCAGGATCACCTGTTCCTGCCACATCAGTCCGTCTGTCTGTCCACACCTGTGGTGCAGAAGAAAGCATCTGTTTGGAAAGTCAAGAAACTGGCTTTGGATGTTAATGTTCCTTCAATATTTGTATTTTACCTCCGAGGTTCATGATGGAGGCTAAAAACGAGGGTGTTCCTCTGGGCGCTGTGCACCGGACGCTTCAGTCTGTGGCCTCATTCATCCCGTCCTGCATGTTGGGTTCTGATAGAACCCTGACCCATCTCTCCTACATGAACGCAACGATGAGTGATGATGTCTGTTCATATAAATCGATCAGAACTAGAAACGTACGATAAAGTTCTCATACGAAGACGTATTCAGCAGAAACTAAACACATGATCCAGTTTAGTACGACATTTAATTGACATAATAATGTTCATGATTATTGTATTAAACAATGGACAGCAACATTAGACAGTGGAGGTAAATAACCTCAAACATTCATCCCGTCTTCTTCCAGCCTTCATTTCATCTGAGAGCCTCTGTGTGAACTCGTCGTTATGTAAAAGCTCCGGATGCTGCTGCAGTCTGATGGGAAACCCGTCACAGCCGCCATGAATGATTTAACCAAAGAGCTCCTCTGATGTTTTCATATTCTGCTGCTTTGGCTTCAATTCAGACACAAACTTGTGCCTCAGTCTGATTGTGATGTAAAGTCAAACCATCTTTAGAAGAAATGAGTTTCTTCTGGAGCATCTGTCACCGTCTTTCCTCTCAGAGCTCTGTGATTGGACGGAGGTGAGGGTTTGATCTTCTGTCATGTTGGATTTTATGAAGTTTTAAAAATCTGTAAACAGCCAGATTATATATTTTTTAAATCTTCACCAAAAATGGCTCTGATTATGTTCAGGAAACGCCTCACAGACGTGACTGTGTGTGACGTATATGTAGATTTATCAACAGCGTTCATATTGTACAGCTCACTGTAATGAGCTGTGACAGGCCGCAGGGCAGCTGTTTTCACACCAAACTTGGTTTACGGACTCAGGACCTTTGGGGGTGAGTGGACCTCAGGGTGGACCTGAGGGGCTGCATCACTCCTACTAGAGAACAGTATGTTTACCGTCAGTGCTTCTCGTCCTCACTGCCTGCAGCTCTCATAGTTGATGCACCTTCATTGTTTGCAGCGGTTTTCAGATCTACAGTGAAATTACCGGCTTGGTGCAGAGCTGAGACCAAACCAGTCCTGTTCAGCTGAACCGTCCCTCCAGGACTTTGAACTGAAAACTGAACCGACTTTCATTAATGTGCTGAACATGGAGTCTTTAACGGACTGATGAAGCAGCAGTGTTCCGTATCCCACGTCTGAAACGGACTCTCTGTTTTTATATTTATCTATTTATTGGTTTTCATTTTAGGACAAATGAAGAACATTTATTGTCTTTTAGAGGACAAGCGACACACATGCATGAGGAAGGCGGGGCTTCGTGGTGTCGACGCCTCCACAGCCAGAGGCCGTTAACGGGACCACCCACGTCCCTCCAGCCGCAGGACAAAGAGGCAACGAGCTCAGTCATTAAATTAGTGTCTGCTAATGAAAACAGGGAGTGTGTGCCGTGAAGTCCTGAACAGTGGGCAGTACCGCTGGCACACAGCTGCTGCCGTGTTTACTTGTGGTGTCGTGGTTGCCATAGTTGCCATTGTGTTTACGCAGCGTTTGTGTGGCGTTGCTTCACTCTGATCTAATCCTGCTTCTGTAGCAGGTAAACAGGAAGCACAGGTAGCCAGCTCCTCTACCTGCTTAGAGTCTGTACACACGATGTGAGCTGGATTGTCTGTGTGAACAAAGAGCACGTTGCTGCAGCATGAGGACTGCTGTTAGAACCATGCTGCTCTCTGACGTCCACTAAAGGCCGACTCTCTCCCTGTTCACTCTTTTATACATACGTGTTCATTTACCGCCGTCGTAGGACTAACTGACACTTCAGTGTATTTGCTTGTTCCATCCATGCCCTCCATTCGTCTCCCTGACTCCCACAAATGTTCTATTAGTTGACACACTGAACACATCAGTCATGCTGCAGTCAGTAAAACGTGGATCCAGGCTGAGCCGCCGCTGTTTGCATGGCAAGCAAATGAGCAGCCAGAGGACTGGAGCTCAGAAGAGGCCCAGCGAGCTGAACTCAGACGGGATGAATAATATGTTCAGTACCAGACAATAAATCAGGTTCTTTCTGAATGTCATGAGTTCTGGATGTGTCCGATGTGTTTGGACTTGGAGGTGCCACATGTTGAGGACGTTATCTCCACTGATGATGAGCTGCTCTGGACACGCCTGTATCTGTAGGTGTTGTCCTGCTCATTTCCATACGCAAACACAATGAAGGTTGTGTATTTAGCTTAGTACAACATTTGGTTTCTTCTTTTTGGATTGTGCGAGCGCTGCCTGTTGCAGCTGAGACGCCACCTTCAGCTCTTCTCCAGCAGCCCTGTTTGCTTTGCACCAGTCTGATGATAGACTGCAGTAAAGTACAGATTTATTATTAATGACTCCTTAGTGTCTCAGTAAACGAAGACTGTGAACCGGCGGGAACACAAGCAGGACCTCCTCCAGGTGGAATGTGTCCATCATTAGTGCAATTCACATCAGGTGATCAGACCTGTCCTGTTTCAACATCTGACATCCAGGCCTGCCAGGAAAGAAAGTCTTTGGTGTCCAAGAAGAAGATTAAAGCAAAACCAGCCTCCTAATGAACATAAAGGCAAAAACCAGGCCTGGTAGAACAATGTGCTATGGATGGACCAATCAGAGACACAGTTGTGTTGCCACAGTAACAGTAGATATGTTTGGTGCAGACCAAAGACCACCAGCTGTGAAGTACGCTGGTGGGAACGTTGCTGTCCTCGGTAGCTTTATGCATTCTTCATCATGTGCTTGAAGACACCGTGAGGCCGTTTGTCTGAGAGTTGAACCAGAAGTCAGTCGATTGGACGTGATGGTGATACCAAGAACACCAACGAATTCACCACAAACGGCTTTAAACGAAGTATTGCAGAGTTGCAGTGGTAAAAAATCTCAGCAAGCTGATATCAGCGATGTGGGACACTTAGGAGCAACAAGAAGCTGCCTGTGAAGGCCTCATGAGTCCTGTCCTGTTCTGGTTTTTGTGTCTCTGAGTCTCTTATAAAACCAAACATCTGTTGAGTACATGATTGATGAAGTACATTTTGCACCTTTACCTTTAGGCACTGTTTTATAAAGAATAAAGTGTTTAGTTGTCCAGATATTTTCCCTGGATGTGCTTCTTCTTCACCCGTCGGTGTAGATCATTGTGGTGGAGGAGGTCTGAGCGGGACCCTGCTGTGAAGTAAAGCACCTCTCACAGGTGTTCTGTGTTCCTGGTCTCCACATTTAAGGGGTGATGATCACAGTCGTGTGCTCTTTTGTGTCTGTTTTTATAAATCTGTCTATTTGCATATTAACATGGTTCTTAATGAGAGCAGCTCTGTGACGAGTCGCTGTCGTCCTAAAACATCACAGCTGCTCCAGACTTGGTTCTTTGGCTGATGTTGGTCTGATTCTGTGAGTGCTTTGACTTAACTTTCCTGATGACTGAATTTCTTTTCTTGTCTGTGTGTTGCAGTTGAAAGGGAGATGGTTCAGAAGAGGACCTTCACCCGATGGATCAACCTCCATCTAGAGAAGGTTTGTTCATGTAGCAGCAGATGACAAACACCAGTCCTCAGTTCCTACAGAGCTGCTCTCTGAGCTTTCATTTGCTACCTCAGTGCAAGAAAACACTTTCTTTTATTTCCGTCCCACCTCGAGCTGCGCTGCAGCTGAATCTTTTTCACAGGCTGAGGTTAGCGAGCTGCTCGCTGGATGTGTTTTCCACTGCAGCGGAGACACGCTGCACATAAACAGCAGTTGCAGTCTCTGAATTATATATGTGGTTGTGAGGAGCTGTTTGTGTGCAGCATTAAAGTTTCATCAGGCTGCAAAGTGTGGATCTGAGAGAACAGGAGCGGTGTTACAGGACCACAGAGCGAGGTGGTGGGTTCCCCTCAGCCAGCTGCTGGGTGGAGGAGGGATGCTCTGTGGTCACCACAGTAGATCTGCTGACACGTGATGGGGACCAGGGAGGTCTGGAGATCTGTCAATAAGTACAGTGTCAGGACTGCTGATTTATGTGATGTCTCCTTCAGTATAAAAGAAAACATACAGAATTAAAAACACAATGTGTGACTGAGTAAATGCCACATGACCGTGAAGGCAGGTCCTAATTGGCTGATCGATTACAGCGCCGTCAGGAAGTATTGCCTCTTGATGATTTAATGTTTGAAGGTGAAAGCTGTCCTGTGATAAACCTCAGAGCTCCTCTGGTTGAAGCGTGACCTCACTGTGGCTGAGCTCACGGACCAGACCTGCTCAGTCAGGAAGTCACTTCAACAGAACCTGTCTGACAGAACAAAGTCGACCAGAACATCTCAGAAAGCTGCAAGAGCATGCAGCGGTCCAAAGAAATTCAAGAACGGATCAGAACCACAGAACGTTGGTGCTTTTACTTCAACCATTCATCACTTCATATGTCTGGTGTCACATTGATGGGCCGTCATGTCAGATATTAAACAACAGGAGAATAGTTTGTGCTGTGTGCCCCACCAGGAGTTTACCTGCTCATCCATCCATCTCTGTGTTCACACTGACACCCTGTGTTTGTGTAGAACCTCTGAAGTTCTGACCCTGAGTGTCTCCAGTCTGTTAGCCGGTCCTGACCAGGGGTGAGTCTGGGTGAGCTGTGAGCTGGATGCTGATCAAGCCTTTTGTTTTCTCTCACAATGAGCCTCTCTTGTCTTACTCACTGTTTGGCCACGGGTCAAATTTCTGACCCATAAACTGACAATCATACATTTGTCCTCCGTCATGTTGGAAAGTTCCAGTCACTTTACCCCCTGATCCCCCAGCGACAGATCGCACAGTCACACGTCTACCGATGTCCACCCGCCATGATTTACTGTGACAACGCGGCTACATGAACACAAGCTCATGTTAGTGTTGTGTTGTTGTTCTGTTGTGTGTGTTTGGGTCGGACAGCAGCTCCTCGCATCCAAAACCACTTTTCCCCAAACGGGACAAATAAAGGAACCTG